CCTGGCTGGCTCAGCCAATAGAGTGAGTGACTCTTGATCTAGGGTCTAGCGGTTGTGAGTTCAATCTCCGTGTTGCATGTAGAGCGTACTTAAAAAAAGAGAGAGAATTTAGGATCTGGGCATTAGGTATGTCATTGCTCCTAGAGTATCATTGTGTCTAAGCTGTTTCAGTGGAACAAAACGGGAAGTGTGTATGTATAAACCATGAGTTCACACCAGGACATTCAATTTCAGTCCAACACCACAGAGTTTATTCTCACCTTCCCCAGTTTAGTATCTAGTACTGGTTTAGACTACCTTACGTTGGAATTATCTGGAGAATCATTTACCCACTGGTTAAAAATTCAGATGATAGGATCGCAACTCAGTTTCCCATATCAAAAAGCTCTTTTTAAAAAGTCCCAATTCTGTTCTGTAGTGGATCTTTAAAAAGGTAAGTATTCAAGGTCAATCTACAAACTTTGAAAGTTTATAAATTCTGCAAAAAATAAGATGTTTTGGGAGTGCCTGGCTGGCTTAGTTGGTAGAGCATGCAACTCTTTTTAAAAAAAGTATTTATTTATTTATGAGAGAGAGAATTTGTACACACAAGACAGGTGGGGAAGAGGGGCGGGCAGAAGGAGCGGGAGAGAGGATCTTAAGCAGACTGAGCACGGAGCCCTCGGGCTCCATCCCACAACACTTGGCATCATGACCTGATCTGAAACCAAGAATCCGACGCTCAGCCCACTGCACAACCCAGGTACCCCAAGAGCATGCAACTCTTGATCTTAGGGTGGGAGTTCAAGACCCACATTGGGTGTGGAGCCTACTTAAAAAAAAAAAAAAAAGACATTTTAGTTTTTCTTTGTATCATTTCATGCCATTTCTTTATTTACTGTGTCATTTTAGACATTTATTTTTTACTCCTTTCTCTTTGTCTTACAGTCTGGTCCTCTGTTAGTGTTTGCTGGAATGCTTATAGCATTCCTCTGATAACTTTGTTCATTTTGCTCCATTTTCTCTTCTCTTGAATTACACAGTATTTATCAGTCTTGTTCAGGTTGACCGACTTTCTTCTGCCTGTTGAGACCTACTGTTGAGCCCCTGTAGCATGTCACTGTTCTGGGCGAGTGCTCACGTGGAGGCGGCCCCTGATCATCACGGCTGGGCCCCTCTGTCCTGTGCGGGAGCTTGGGCAAGGGCCAGTGCACTCCAGGAAGAGGCAGGATTCTCAGCCTGCTGTGCTACTAGGATAAAGCTTCATGCTACGGTTGGACAGAGGGAGTCCTGAATTCCTGGCTAGCCACAGGAAGTAGGGGGTCCTATGGGGCCTCGGCTGCACCCCTCACCCCGGAGTGAAGTCTCCCTAGAAAATTACTCTGTAAGACCCAGCTGTCAGTTCTTTTGGGTGTATGTTCAGAAGTGGAATTGCTAGATCATATAGTAAATCTGTCTTTAATTTTTTGAGGAGCTACCTTACCATTTCTGTAGTGATTACACCATTTTACATTTCTACCAGCAATGTCCAAGGGTTTCAGTTTCTCCATATCTTTGCAAAACCTTTTTTTTCCTTTTATTTAATAACAGACACCCTAAAGGATATGAAATGGTATCCTGTGGTTTTCATTTGATTTTTTTTCCAGGGATTTATGATTTTGAGCATCCCTTCATATTCTTGTTGGCCATTTGTGGGGGGGGCACTTGTATATATTCTTCAGAGAGATGTCTTTTTAAAGTTTTTTTTTCTTTGTTAATCTCTTGTTTCAGCTCAAATTTCTTTTATTCAAGATATTGGAAGGCTTCCTCTGAAGCGACACTTTGGAAGGTAAGCTGATTATTTTAATTTTCAAAGACTTGTTACTGAAATGTCCACTGACAGTTGTTCATTCAGTATATAGCCAGTAAAATTTATCTGTAAAATCTAAGAAATACATATTATTCCCTGTGATTAATGACCATATGATTGCATTGTAGACCCATCATTTTATTACATGTAACAGCATATTTTCACTAGCTCACAAAGGAATATCAGGCCAAATAGAATCATGGAATCATAAAAGCAAAGGAATCTTTATTATCTTTCATTTAATAAATCTTGCATATCTAGAGACCCCTTTTCACCTTTTCTGCCCGGAGGTGTTCATAGCCTGTGTTTAAAGCCTGCAGTGACCAGAAACTACCACAGAATACTGCCTTTTTTTTTTTTTTTTTACTTCTTTCTCTTAAAAGATTCAGACAAATTTTGTTAAAAAAGTAAACATAAAAAAAAGAAAAAGTAAACATAGAGAGGTAAATCTGTATCTGTGCTGTTCATTTTATTACAAATCACTTCTAGGCTAATTTCAGTGATTAATACAACACCTATATTTCATTTCTACTTAGGTTATTTGTAAGGTCAAATTATATACTCAGGCTTTTGAAAAATGTTTAATAAAAGGGCTTTTTAACTGTTATTACTGGTTCAACTACTTGATCTAACTTGGGAGACAGGATTTGTCAGTGCTTCTAATTGCAGTCATTCATGATGACCATATTTAGGGATGCCTGGCTGGCACTGTCAAGATAGAGTATGAGACTCTTAATCTTGGGGTTGTGAGTTCAAGCCCCACATTGGGTATAGAGATTAATTAAGTAAATAAACAAACATGATGACCATATTTAACATCAATGATTCATGTTAATGATATTAAATATTAATATTTAGCTTGATAGGTTAATACTTAATAGTTCTATAGTTTCCTGTAATACAACCTGTACCTTATTTTGTACATTTAGCTTATTTCCAACTTTTATAGTTTTGCTTGTAGCTTTAATCATTTTGGACATCAAATGCTATTTACATAAGATGTATTCCTAGAAATAAAATTGCTAATCAGCAGATACACACTTTTCTGAAGCCTTTGCTGGATACTGCCAGATTGTTTCCAAGAATATTTTATCAATTTTATGTTCACTTACAATGTATCAGTATATTCTTTTCTCCTAACTCTTGACACTGCTGGGTTTTTATTAAAACCTTTTTAAAAGGTTTTGGGGTGCCTGGCTGGCTCAGTCAGAGGCGTAGGCCATTCCTGATCTCAGGGTTGTGTGTGTGAGCCCAACGTTGGGTTAAGATTACTTAATAAATAAAACATTAATAGGGGCACCTGGGTGGCTCAGTTGGTTAAGCATCTGCCTTTAGCTCAGGTCATGATCCCAGGGTCCTGGGATTTAGTCCTTACTCCAAGTCCCTCCACAGCAGGGAAACTGCTTGTCTTTCCTCTGCCACTCCCCTTGCTTGTCCTCTGTCTCTCTCTTTCTCTCTGCCAAACAAATAAAATCTTAAAAAAAAATTAAAAGTCACTGCCACTTTTAAAGATGATGGTAAAGTAATGATAGTTCATTATGTTAACAGTTTTTAAAATTATTAATTAGGTTGAACAATTTAGTTACCATTTGTATTTTTTATGTAAGTTGTCCATGTTTTATACTCATCTTTCTATTTCTTTAGAGTGTGCAAGCGCATCTGTGCTCACAAGGTTGGGGAGGGGCAGAGGGAGAGAGAGAGAGGGAATAATATTAAGAGAATATTAAAGACTCTGAGATAATGACCTGAGCCAAAATCAGAAGCCCGTTGCTTAACCATCTGAGCCACCCAGGTGCCCCTACCCATTTTTCTATTCAATTTATTTTTTTCTTTTTTATTTGTAAACATTCCTTAATAAAGACGTTAATCAAGTCATTTGTTTTGTAAGTTGTAATGATTTTTTCATTTTGTCATTTACCTTGTGCTTTTGTTTATATAATTAAACTAAAGGGCTTGGGGCACCTCCATGGCTCAATGCTTGAGTGTCTGTCTGCTTTTGGCTCCAGTCGTGATCCTGGGATCGAGTCCTGCATCAGGCTGATGGCAGGCAGGGAGCCTGCTTCTTCCTCTGCCCATGTCTCTGCTTCTCTCTGGAAGAAATAAATACTTTCTAAATAAGTAAATAATAAACTAAAGGGCTTGGCTAAACAGTGAGCAGAGTCCAGATAAATGAATGACTGGAGAAAACTTCATAATTCTCACATGCATGGTATAATTTAAAGGTATCCCCTTTTTTGGTTATTATTAATGCTTGTATTATGAATCTGGCAGGTTGAAAATGGAAGCCCTGACGGACAGGGAACACGGACTGATAGACCCTGACAGTGGAGATGAAGCCCAGCTTAATGGAGGGCAGCCTACAGAGGAAGCTCTGGGCAAACCCACTCAGACCGCTGAGCCTGAAACGTGCTGTCTGCCTTGGAGTCAAAATAGTGGAAGTGAACTGCCCGCCAGCCAGCCTCAGACGTTTTCAGGCCAAGGAGACGAGGAAGAAGAAGAGCTGGTAATAGAAGACTATGAAAGCGATGGGCCATAGAAGCCGGCCTGTTGCCATGGTGCCACCGGCAGATTCATGTTCATTTTACTCAGTTGTACCTGAACAAAGATAATACACTTTTCAAGTGAATGACAGTTTAATTCTCCACTCTTGTAGTATTTCAGCACAACAAACTGACTTCTCTGTCATCTTGAAGTAAACAGAAGATCAAGCCTCAATTTTTTTTCTAGTATTTATTTAGTCTTGTGTCTGGTGTTGGGAGAGGTCAGTGTGAATGAAGTGTGTTTGAACATTATGCCAAATATCAAAAAATGTGAAGGAATAATTTAGAATACTAAGACTTTATGGGGTTGTAAATACGAATTATGAAAGTTTAGTATGCAATTGAGTGTAAATAAATCTTGTGCCTTATCCAGTTTCTCTATGGTCTCTGACTTCTCAATACCATTTTTATATGCTGTACAGTGGACTACTTTAGATGCTTTTTGGAAAGTATTTACTTAATTTATATCAAAATTAAAATGTTGAATTTCTTTTCGTTTCTTCTTTTAATATTTCCTAATATGTATTGCCGGCGAGGTATCATTGGGCATAGTGCATGCGTCCCCTTTATCCATTGTTAAGTTTCAAAAAACCGGGAGAAACGGCAGCCTTGCGCTGGGCACTCCGGCAGGGTTAGGCCCACCTGTCGGGGCCTTTCCGGGGTGCGTGGGCGGCGCCCCGGCGGGCGGAGCTGGGCCCGGCGCCGCCGCTGCGAGGTGCGGGGCGGGCCCGCCCCTCCGGGCGCGAGCGAGCGGGAGTCCGGCTGACAAAGCCGGGCGGGGCGCCCTGGCCTCGGCCCCGCCCCGGGAGCGAAGCCCGGTTTCCGTGCGGCGGGCGGCGTGCGCGCTCCTCCCGGCGGCCGCGCAGGTGAGTGGGCCCGGGGGGAGGGGCCCGGCGGCCCCCGCAGGTGCGCGGGTGGGGACCGGAGGCCCGCGGCGCTCGCCCCTCCGCCCCGCGGTCGGAGAGGAGGCCCGGGGGAGCGGGGCCCGCGCGCAGGTGCTCCAGCAGCCCGCCTTCGCCGAGGAACGCGGGCGGGGGTGGGGGAGCCCCGCGCGGGGGCAGGTGCGTGGGGGGGGGCGCCGGCGCGGGGGCAGGTGCGCCGCGGGCAGGTGCACGGGGCGGAGATCCCGGCGCTGGGTCCTGGAATCCCGGCCTGCGCGCCGACTCAGTTCGGTTCGCTTTGGGGCGTCCCGTCGGCTCTGCAAAGGGGCTGGTGTGTGGGACGCGCGGACCCCAGGGTCCTGCCGCTCGCGCCTGGGCCGTGAGCACCCCCGGGGCCTCCCGCTGCCCTGGGCCCTGCGGAGCCTCACGGCGCGCTAACCCGCCCCTGGGTCCGTGCGGCCTCCCGCTCCGAGCCCGGCGGCCCCGAGGAGGGCAGCCCGGTCTCCGGTGCCCGCCCTGACGGCCGCGGTGAGGGCGGGGTGGCCGCCCTGTCGAAGAGCACGTCTTTTGTTATTCCATGATTCTTCACATTGACTTTCTGCTTTTTATTTAAAAATCATTTTTCTCCCTTAAACCTCCATAAGGTGTTCTAATCCAGATGCGCCACTCTGCACAGGTGAAGATAAGGTGAATCCATTAGAGCCCGGGGCACTCTTTTTTTTTTTTTTTTTTTTTTACTGGTGTGGGGAAGTAAGCTATGGGATCTCCTTTAGACACATGTGCGTCAAACAGGTTGACGTCTGTAAGACTTGCTCACCTTACTTCTGTGTTTTTGGTTCGACTTTTCATAGCAAACCGTATTTCAATTATTTATCTATTTTTGATAGTCATACAGAGAGAGAGGCAGAGACACAGGCAGAGGAAGAAGCAGACTCCATGCACCGGGAGCCTGATGTGGGATTCGATCCCGGGTCTCCAGGATCACGCCCTGGGCCAAAGGCAAGCGCCAAACCGCTGCGCCACCCAGGGATCCCCTGATTGAAATTTTCTATAATTAAACCTTTCTAATCCCCTGCGTTAAAAAAAGCCCTGAATTCTTTCTATCTCCATTGCTACCACCATGGTCCACTGGATCAAGTCAAGCCTCTTGGCCCCTTGCCTCCCGGAGTATGCTGTGGACATAGCATCCAGACTGATCCTGCTAAAACACGTCACATCGTGTCACTGCTCTACTCAGAACGCTCTGTTGACTTCTCCTCTCACTCCCAGCAAAAGCCAAAACCCTTCCCATTTGTTTTCGAGGCCCTAATAATTCAGGTGGACTTAATTCTGCCAGTTACCCTCTCTCTCTCTGTTCTCCCCCTGGCCTGCAGGGCTTCATAGGTCTTGAACTTGCCAGGCACTCCTGCTGCAAGGCGTTTGCACTAGCTTTTCCATCTGCCTGGATCACTTCCCCTGATGCCTGCCTGGCCTCCTCCTTCCCCCCTTCATTTCTACATTCAGACATCACGTTCTCTATGAAGATGTCCCAGGTCATTCTATTTAAAATTGTATAGGGATCCCTGGGTGGCGCAGCAGGGATCCCTGGGTGGCGCAGCAGTTTGGCGTCTGCCTTTGGCCCAGGACGCGATCCTGGAGACCCGGGATCGAGTCCCGCGTCAGGCTCCCGGTGCATGGAGCCTGCTTCTCCCTCTCCCTGTGTCTCTGCCTCTCTCTCTCTCTCTCTCTCTCTCTCTCTCTCTCTCTGTGTGACTATCATAAAATAAATGAAAATTAAAAAAAATATTTAAAAAAAAACTTTAGTTAAAAAAAATAAAATAAAATTGTATAAACCCTGCCGGCAAAGTGCTTTTCTTAATCAGCATTCTTAACTTTGTTCCTTACCGTCCAGTGTATTTCACTTCCCTTATCTGTTATCTGGAATCCTCCCCTCATCCCCCATTGAGTTAAGTCCCATGAGTGCAGGAATTTCCGTTGATTTTGTTCACGGATGCACTTTTAGGACGTCTGGTGTAATGGCAGGTGTTTGTAAATATTCATTGAGTGATAGGTTCCCATCTTACAAAGTGAAACAAAGCCTTAGTGGGGCACTCGAGCTGGTCATGATCTCAGAGTCGTGAGATCGAGCCCCACATCGGGGGTGGAGCCTGCTTAAGATTCTCTCTCTCCCCCTCCCTCTCCTTCTGCTCTCTCTCTGTTAAAAAAAAAAAAGCAAACAAACAAAAAACCAAAGCCTTAGGAATTTCTAAGCGGTTCAACACCACAAAGGTGAGATGCTCCAGTTAAACTTTGAGACCTTCATAGTGCCAAGTACAGTGCTACATGCCCGGTGCGTTTTCAGTAAGTGCTCGCTTCTAAGCAACGTGAGGGAGAAATTCACTGTGCCTTAAACCTCATAGTTACATTAGGGAAGAGTGTCCTTCTTTTTGTTGACAGAAAGTGGCTGGTTTTGTGAAGGACATCAACAGGTGTAGGAAAAGTGCTTTTTCTCTGCTTTATTTTTTATTTTTTATTGCTTAAAGCACTTTTTTTTAAAAAACATTGGTAGCAAGTATTTTTTTTTAATTTTTATTTTATTTATGATAGTCACACACAGAGAGAGAGAGGCAGAGACACAGGCAGAGGGAGAAGCAGGCTCCATGCACCGGGAGCCCAATGTGGGATTCGATCCCGGGTCTCCAGGATCGCGCCCTGGGCCAAAGGCAGGCGCCAAACCGCTGCGCCACCCAGGGATCCCTTGCTTAAAGCACTTTTTAAATTTTTTTGAAAAACAATATGTTGTGGGGGTTTTTTGTATTTTTTTAAAATTTTTATTTATTTATGATAGTCACAGAGAGAGAGAGAGAGGCAGAGACATAGGCAGAGGGAGAAGCAGGCTCCATGCACCGGGAGCCCGACGTGGGATTCGATCCCGGGTCTCCAGGATCACGCCCTGGGCCAAAGGCAGGCGCCAAACCGCTGCGCCACCCAGGGATCCCTATATATATATATACATTTTTTTTACTGGAAAAAAATATATATATATTTATATATATTTAAAATATATATATATTAAAAATATATATATTAAACTATTAAATTATATATATTAAATATATATATATTAAATATATATATTAAGTATATATATTTAATATATATTAAATATATATATATTAAATATATATTTAATATATATTAAATTATTAAATTAATATATATATTAAAATATATATATTAAATTATTAAATTAATATATATATTAAAATATATTATATATATTAAAAATATATTAAAATATATATATTTTAAGAATATATTATATATATTAAAAATATATATATTATATATAATTATATATATAATATATATATAATTATATTAAAAATAAATTAAAATATATATATATTAAAAATATATTATATATATTAAAATATATATATTAAATATATATATTTAATATATATATTAAATTATTAAATTAAAATATATATATATTTAAAATATATATATATTAAAAATATATATATATTTTTTTTACTGGAGTTCGATTTGCCAACATATAGCATAACACCCAGTGCTCATCCCGTCTCTGCTTTATTTTTTAGGTATATCAAAGCCCCTCGGAGATACTTTTGAGTGTCGCCGTGCAGCAACAAGGTGCCTTTGGGTGACTGCTCTATAAAGATTTCCACATGTGACTTACATGGTGGCTCTGCGTTGTACTTTTATGGAATCTTGACCTTCAGTGATTTTTTTCCCCCTCTCACAATTCAGTTTTTTAAATCTAGTATCAAGTATTCATATTTTAGAGGGGAAGCCGCAACTCCCCTAAACGGACTTTCCTGACTTCAGAAAAAAGGGCTTCAATCCCTGTGTGTAACGGACCGCGTCTCCCAGGCCATTCCAGAGCAGGATTTGAGGTGAGGAGAATGAAGAGTATTTGCTGACCCATCAGACTCTGGTATGCTCAACTATTAAATATTTTGATTTCGATGTTTCGGGAAAGGATTCTGCTTGGGGGTGTCTTGGGATCCTGCATTATTAAAATTCAGCTTCTTGTATGGTTTCTGCCCTTTGTTGTTCATAGGGCTCACAGGTAAATTAGACTTATCAATGTTTTCACTCAGAACTAAGATCTTGGGGATCCCTGGGTGGCTCAGCAGTTTAGTGCCTGCCTTCAGCCCCGGGTGTGATCCTGGAGACCAGGGATTGAGTCCCACATCAGGCTCTCTGCATGGAGCCTGCTTCTCTCACTGCCTGTGTCTCTGCCTCTCTCTCTCTCTCTCTCTCTCTCTCTATGTCTCTCATGAATAAATAAAATCTTAAAAAAAAAAACAGAACTAAGATCTTAATTTTGACTGCCCTTAAAATCATAGAGAACAATGATGATATCCCTGGCTCGTATGTGAGGTATGTTTTAAATAGTTTATGTTCTCATTTTTACATGTCTTGACAATCAGACATGATCATACTGGTTCCCTAAATATGGTCGTCTGCCATTAAGTGAATAAAATCAAGGGGATCCCTGGGGGGCTCAGCGGTTTAGTGCCACCTTTGGTCCAGGTGGTGACCCCAGGGTCCCAGGATCGAGTCCCACCTCCGGCTCCCTGCATGGAGCCTGCTTCTCCCTCTGCCTGTGTCTCTGCCTTTCTGTCAATCTCTCTCTCTCTGTGTATCTCTTGTGAATAAATAAATAAAATCTTTAAAAAAAAAAGTGAATAAAACCAAGCCTACCTGAAAGAATGACTCGCTGGGCATGAGCGATGACTTTAATCTCGGCCACAGGTGTAAAGGTCACCAATGTCATCGGATGATGGAAGGTCCAGGAGTCGGGACAGGCACTACGATGGCGTCCCAAGGGAGTCCCCGTCCGGCGACGGCCCCACAGGTACCCTGCGGACGCTCGGCGACAGTGAGCTGGCGGTGAGCGCCGATCCCTTGCCGCCGCCCCCTCTCCCGTTACAGCCGCCCTTCGGCCCAGACTTCTACTCAAGTGACACGGAGGAGCCGGCCATCGCCCCGGATCTCAAGCCCGTGAGGCGCTTCGTCCCGGAGTCCTGGAAGAACTTCTTCAGAGGGAAGGCGGCCCCGCGGTGGGGCAGGGCGGGGTCTGACGTCAGGTACATCTCGGACGGAGTGGAGTGCTCCCCGCCGGCCTCTCCTGCCAGGCCCGCCCGGCGGCCCGGCCGCGGCTCCCCCTCCCCGCCGGGCCCTCGCGGGGCGTCCCACGGAGACGCCGGCGACGCCGAGGCCGCCTGGGCCCCCGACGCCTGCGGTTGGCCGGGCGGCCGCGCGCGCTCGGGCAGCGAGAGGGAGGAGGACTTGCGGCTGAGGTACTCCTTCATGAAGTCGTGGGCCGGCCTGCTGCGCGTGCTGGGCGTGCTGGAGCTGCTGCTGGGCGCCGGCGTGTTCGCCTGCGTCACGGCCTACCTGTACAAGGACAGCGAGTGGTACAACCTGGTCGGCTACGGGCAGCCCTACGGCCTGGGCGGCGCGGGCGGCCTGGGCGGCGGCTACTACTACGGGGGCCCCAGGACGCCCTTCGTGCTCGTGGTCGCCGGCCTGGCCTGGGTCAGCACGGTCGGCGTGCTGGTGCTCGGCATGACCACCTACTACCGGGCCATCCTCCTGGACTCCAGCTGGTGGCCCCTCACGGAGTTCGCCCTTAACGTCGCCCTGTTTATCCTGTACATGGCCGCGGCCATCGTGTACGTCAACGACACCAACCGCGGGGGCCTGTGCTCCTACCCGCTGTTCAACACGCCCATGAACGCGCTGCTCTGCCGGGTCGAGGGGGGCCAGGTCGCTGCCCTCATCTTCCTCTTCGGCATCACCATCGTCTACCTCATCGGAGCCTTGGTTTGCCTGAAGCTGTGGAGGCACGAGGCGGCCCGGAGGCACAGGCAGTACCTGGAGCCGCGGGAGGTGAGACCTGCGGGCCCTTTGCTGCGGCCGCTGCCCCTGCCCCTGCCCCTGCCCCTGCCCGGTGGGCCGTTCCCGCAAAACGCCTCGTCCTCAAAGCAAAGGTGTTTATAAAAGCCCTTGTGTTATTTTGTTTCATTTATTTATTTTATTTTATTTATTTATTTTTATTTTACTTTGTTTTATTTTAATTTTATTTTATTTTACTTTATTTTATTTTACTTTATTTCATTTATTTTATGTTTTACTTTATTTTATTTTATTTGCTTTATTTTACTTTTATTTATTTTATTTGCTTTATTTTACTTTTATTTGCTTTATTTTACTTTACTTTTATTTTGTTTTAGTTTACTTTTATTTTACTTTATTACATTTATTTGTTTTATTTTACTTTATTTTACTTCATTTTATTTGCTTTATTTTACTTTATTTGATTTATTTCATTTGCTTTATTTTACTTTATTTTATTTGTTTTATTTTATGTATTTTACTTTATTCCATTTATTTTATTTTCCTTTATTTCATTTGTTTTATTTTACTTTATTTTATTTGTTTTATTTTACTTTATTTGTTACTTTATTTTATCATTTTTAATTTTTTTAAAGATTTTATTTATTTATTCATGAGAGATACAGAGAGAGAGGCAGAGACACAGGCAGAGGGAGAAGCAGGCTCCACGCAGTGAGCCCAACATGGGACTCGATTCCGGGTCTCCAGGATCACGCCCTGGGCCAAAGGTAGGCGCCAAACTGCTGAGCCATCCAGGGATCCACTCATTTTTCTTTCTTTTTTTTTTTAAATTTTAATTTTTATTTTAATTTTTATTTTATACGATCTGAAATTCGAAACTCCTAGCTCCCCGTATCCAACCTGCTTTCCGTGGGATGGCCCATGCCACTGCCATGTCACTTGTCGTCGACACCCCAGGCAGGTCCCAGATGTGTAATCTGATCTATGGTTCATTGGCTGCACCGTTGCCGCCGTGATGCCCAAGGGGAGCAACACGGCTACCCGATTTCTGCATCGGAGAATAATACCGTTTTCAGTACAGTAAACATGTCCACGTGGAAGCAAAAGGTTGAGGACAGCGTGGATGCTTGAGTGCAGCAAAGGTTAATTAAAAATAAATTTAAAAAGAAAACCTTTTCAGTTATCGGAGGAAAGTGTTCATTTACAGGTTACGATGAGTGCCGCTCTTTCGGTGACTAAAATTAAGAATACAGGGATCCACTTTTTTCTTTTTCTTTTTTTTTTTAAGATTTTATTTATCCATTCATGATAGAGAGAGAGAGAGAGAGGCAGAGACACACAGACTGAGGGAGAAGGAGGCTCCACGCAGGGAGCCAACATGGGACTCGATCCCGGGACTCCAGGATCGTGCCCCGCACCAAAGGCAGGCGCCAAACCGCTGAGCCACCCAGGGATCCCCTTTTCTTTTTTTTTTAAGTGTTGAGAGGCTGAGTTGCAGTGAACATGCACTGTGAACACTTGCCCAGGCATTTGGATGTTTTATTCTTATTTGGGGGTTGGGGGGAGATGAGTGTACCCAAATTAGAATGGGAGCCTGGCACTTGTTTTTATTTCTGGATTTAACTAATTAAATAGGAGAAATAATAATAATTAGTAATAATAATAGTAATAATAATAATACCTGGAGGATCAGATTCTACAAAAGCCATATTTAAAATTATTTGAGTGCTTGCGTCAGCAGCACATATAATAAAATTATTTTATTTGAAGAGTAGCAAAAATGTTAAGAGTGTGTTCTTTTAGCTTCATTATACCCTGAAATAAGTTAATGTTTTGTTTTCTTCTAAGGAGAAGTGTGTAGCAGTAATTTCTTTCTTTTTTTTTTTTTTTTAAGATTTTATTTATTCATGGAGACACAGAGAGAGGCAGAGACACTGGCAGAGGGAAAAGCAGGCTCCCTGCAGGGAGCCTGATGAGGGATTCGACCCCAGGACCCCAGGATCACACCCTGAGGCAAAGGCAGATGTGCTTAACCAGTGAGCCACCTAGGGGCCCCTGTATCAGAAATTTCTATATTACCAAAAATATCTTATTAATTTTTTCTTAATTTTAAGTCAATATATTGTGTGCGTTTTTCTTTTTGTGCTTTTCAAAGATTTCCTAGATACTGTGTAATTATAAATTATATATATATATATATATAGGCAAACCTGTAGATAAAAATGAAATCCTGTCTATATTCACTCAGTAACCTATTTATTTACTCACTGACCTATACATTTTGTGTCTAATCTTTTGCATGAATCTTATGCATAACAACGAAAAACTTTCCTGGTTGTATGAAAGATACTTTAAAGTGTTATAGGAAGAACCTCAACATTGTTTCAATTTTTTTTTTAATTTTTATTTATTTATTTATGATAGTCACAGAGAGAGAAAGAGAGAGGCAGAGACACAGGCAGAGGGAGAAGCAGGCTCCATGCACCAGGAGCCCGATGTGGGACTCGATCCCGGGTCTCCAGGATCGCGCCCTGGGCCAAAGGCAGGCACCAAACCTCAGCGCCACCCAGGGATCCCCCTCAACATTGTTTCAACGTGATCCATGCTCTCTCGTCCCAAAATATATTAATCCCAGTAGAACTCCACATAGAATCAAGTTATTTCTAAAAATTCATCGCAGCACATTAAGCCTATTTCTTAAATTCACCTCTGCATACACAAAATAAAGAATTTAAAATTTTGGGACGCCTGGGGGTGCTCAGTGGTTGAGCCTTTGGTTCAGGGCGTAACCCCGGGGTTCCAGGATCGAGTCCCACATCAGGCTCCCTGCATGGAGGCTGCTTCTCCCTCTGCCTGTTTCTGCCTCTCTTTCTCTCTGCGTCTCTCATGAATAAATAAATAAAATCTTAAAAAAAAAAAAAAAGACTTGAGTTACCTCTCACGTGGGAGCTTGTGCCAGTCTCTGTGTTGCTGTGACTTCTTAAAAGTGAGAACTTATAACGGCCTGTAGGGTTTTTTTCCCCTATTAACTTTATGACTATGACTGTTTCAAACTAATTACACGAGGTAATAGGAGCCAAGAATAAATGAGGCCTCCAGCTGATTCAACGCGATTTGCCTGTTAGTCCCTGTCCTGTGTGTGATTCCAGCTGTGTTGTGTGTTCCCGCCTGGCAGGGAGTTAGAGTGAAACCCCACCCTCCACGTCTGGTAGCCCTTCAGACGACACCAGGATCCGGAGGAGTAGCATCTGTCAAGTAGAGAAGCAACGTCTGTGAAATGGCAACTGGGCTTTAAATGCAAATGGATGAAAATATTTCCAACCAGCCCCATACCCTCTGAAAAAATCATTTTAACTTTTTTTTTTTTTAATTCTAGGTAAGTGAACCATCATTGCCATCAAAAAGGAAAATGGTAAGAATAAGGATCGCATTGTATTTGATGTCTAGATTTGCTAAATACTTTCTCCCCCGTCTGTTGACCTGTGGAGCAGATCCTCACTGTGTCTCTGAAAGCGAATCTATTACACTGAGTCTCGAACTGAACGTTGAGTTCAACTTTGAGCTTTTTTTTCTCATTGTGAAAGGATCAAATTAGACATAAACACAATGTATATTGGGCAAGACCGTAAGTTCTTATACTTCTTGTAGCTTCTTTTCATTCTCTGGGTTAAAAAAATTATGCACATGAGCAATTGGCTCTCTTTATATTTAATACTTAATTTTTTTTTAACTGAAGAACTGATTCTCTCGAACTTTCCATAGCCTTTTTAAAAGTTCTTTGCTGTTCTTTGCTGTCCTTTGCTGTCCTTTGCCGTCCTTTGCCGTCCTTCTCACCTCACTTCCAGATGATGCCAAATTCTGTTGTGGCAGGAAGAAAATTCCTATTCCAGAATTGACTAACAGCGCAGCAGTGGTCAAGGTATCTCACTTTCCTTGCCTTGATTTCTTGTCAAGTCAGAATAATAGCAATAAATCCCTACCTCACATGTCTGTTGAGAGGATTACATGAGATGCTGTCGTTACAATTATTTACGTATATGTAAATGCCTAATATATCTTAATCAAAATTTCACCTCATTGAAAAGTCCATTTTTTAAAATATTGGGCGTTATTTCTAAGCAAGAGGTTGAGAATCCAGCCTTTGGAACTTTTTCTTTGGAAAGGGAGTGCGTTTACTTGGTTTAGAATTCAAAGGGTCTCTAGTCCGAAGTCTTCTCTCATGCCAGTTCCTCAGCTTTACAGCTCTCCCAACTGGAAGGAACTGGTGTCATCAGGGCCTTGTGGTTCCTTTCAGATGTACGTTCATATTACTCATACGTGTAAATATATGCATGCACACACAGATGCTAGTACCTCATACACATGGATATGCCCCTTATATTTTCTTTCGTAACAGTATGTTTCTAAGCTGTTTCCTTACTGGTACATAAAGAACTGGATTCTCCTTTTATAGCTAAATAGTATTGCATTGTATGAATGTGTACGCTTGTTTTGACTGCCAGGTTGCCTCATAGGTGAAAAACGATAATATCTAAGGTAGTTCTAATGTGCATTTTTCTTATAAGGAGTGAGATTGAGCATTTTTCATGTATTATGTTGCTTTTCCTTCCCTGTTAACTTTTTTGTATCCAGTCCATTTTTTTTATTGAATTGCTCGTTTTTTGTTCTTTTTTTTTTTAAGATTTTATTTATTTATTCATGAGAGGCACACAGAGGGGCAGAGACACAGGCAGAGGGAGAAGCAGGCTCCCTGCAGGGAGCCCGATGTGGGACTCGATCCCAGGACCCTGGGGGTCATGCCCTGAGCCAAAGGCAGACACCCAACTGCTGAGCCACCCAGGCATCCCTGGATTGCCTGTTTATAAAGTTCTTTAAGTGCATACATTTTGAAAATACCTTTTATAGGTGGGTTTTTTTTTTCAACTTTATTCTCTAGCACAAATACTATATGAAAATGTTTGGTTCACAGTAAAGTGAGGGATTTCTGGAGTGGACAGATGACACTTTGTCCAAGGGATTGTGGTGAATACATCCGTGTCGACATTCATTCCTTGAACAAGCTATGTCCCAATTAGATGGTGGGCTAGTGATATGAATACTATGTGGTGCATCATCTCCATTTCCTGGGAGTTTTTACAAATCTAGTGGAAAAGAAAACCATAGACAAAGTGTCTGTGTATGTGTGGAATAGAGAGTAAGCAAGAACTACAAAACTAAACTTGTTTCTCAAAAAAAAAAAAAAAAAAAAAGATTTATGTTCCCTGCTATTTCCTGGGGAAATCAATTTATTGATGATAACGTCTCAAACTCAGAATTTTTCATTGTCAGAGCATCTTTTGGGAACTGTAATTTTGTTTAAAAGATTTATTTATTTATTCATGAGAGACACACAGAGAGAGAGAGAAAGGCAGAGACACAGGCAGAGTGAGAAGCAGTCTCATGCAGGGAGCCCGATGCGGGACTCGATCCCAGGACCCTAGGATCATGCCCTGAGCCGAAGGCAGACGCTCAACCACTGAGCCACCCAGGTGTCCCTTTTGGGAACTGTAATTAGCCAGAGTTTTTAATGGGTCAGTTGCCTTAAATTACTTCTGACACTTAGGTTATCTGAATTGCAGTTTGCAGTGGAGCCTTGCTGAGATCCATAAATCTTTGGAAATCATGATACTTGAGCAGCCTTGACTAACCAGGGATGGGATAAATGAGGCTGGGCTCGGGTGGTCTACAGAAGACTGAGGACTTCCTCTATCCCAAGGCAATATGGACCTAGAGCTCCACACCAATGCACTATGCATATTGTTCCTATGGTTCCAGTGGTATTACTATGTGCCTGTGGCTTTTTCTTTGATCTTATTGTACTTTGTTTTAACTTCCTGATTCCCTTGTGTGTTAATTTTTGATATTTATATATTATTGCTGTCAGGATGTGCATTTCAGTTAGGCTTGTTGTAACTCAGTGGTACTCACAATCAGAGTAAGCTAAATGGATGCTCACTTTTAAACTGTTATATAACAGGTAGATAGACCAACAGACAGTAAGAAAGCAGCTGCCTTTAAGAGGGCCACCACCTAACTGTGGGAAGCCAGGGGAGAAGGAGACTTAACTTTTCATCATATACCCTATTGGCCTTTCGAATTATATGTCAGGTGTATGTATATATTACCTTTTCAAAAATTTTTTAAGTTTTTAACGATTTAAATTAATAAACAACTTCAAATAAAATTGGCAAGCAAGGTAGAGCATATGTTTAAAGCATTAATAATACTAACCCTTTGAGATTTAAGCGCAGCTTCCTTAATTTACCCTATGGCTGCCTTCCAGTATTAGTACAAAGACCTAGGTGACGTTGACCAAATGAAGAGAGCCCTCCTCCCAGTTGGGAGTCATCATGGGAATGGCTCAGTCAGATGTGGCCCAATACCCTCATTCCCTGTTGCCAGTACTACTGCCTTAACCCTTCGGTAACTCCTGCCTCTCAGAGGGACTGACCTGGAAACCCGTGAACCCACCCTAGCCGGGAATGACCGTCATGGCTGCGTGGCAGCCCGGTGAGAGTCCTAAAATAATGCTGATTGCGTGGAAAATACCCAGCTGAAAAGGACTTTAGAAGACAGTCCCTGAGGATGATCTGAAACCTGCTTCCTCATGCTAGCACTCTGACTCGCTAACCCTGACATCAGATTATGCTATCACCTATTCACAAGACTTTCTAAAAGTTGACAGACAAATCAAGGCGTGACAAGTGAGTCTCAGGCGTGCAACATGGTGATTCGACTTCTCTAGACGTTTATGCCGTGCTCACCGCGGGTGTAGCTGCCATCCGTCCCCACACAACACTCTTACATGGACTACATTCCTTACGCTGGGCTTTTTATCCCTGTGACTTAAATAAGTTCACTGGAAGGGGACCGCCCGACTCACTTTCACCCATTTTGCCCAACCCCCAACCCCCCTCCTCAGCGTGTGTGTTTGTTTTTTTTTTTTTTTTAATGTGAAAAGCTTAGTAATTATAACCATACCATTATTTAGCCCGGTGCTTAATTACTTTCTCTTACCCCACAGTAAGAGGTTTCCTTGATACCTGCTGACAAGACTCGTTTTCCCTAGAAGCAAAGAAGGGTCCCGTGAAACCTGGGGCTGTGTGTTTGTAGTCGGGAATACTGTTTGAGAGGGGCGCGTTCCAGGGCTGGAGCCTAGTGCAGCCTTCCAGGAAGAGCCTAAAGAGGTTTTGATTCTTTTGTCTTATCTGTACTTTCAGATCTTTTTTTTTTTTTTTCCTCAGTGAGGATTTCTGAACTGATGATCGGTGATATTTCACCCAAATACAGTGGAGGAAAATCTTAAGAGCACAAAAACAGAAAAATTTAAAGCAGATAAAATAGTCCCAGTGAAAATCATCTGACTTCTTAAAGCTCCCTTTTTGTATTAAAAAGTGAATCTTAGAATCAGGGCTGGGCAAGTAAGGAAGATGAAGAGTTCCTGCTTGGAAAACTTTACCTAGGGGAAAAAAAATTTTACCTGGGCAGAGTTTATGATTTTGACCCAGAAATCTGAGCTTGACACCTGGGGCTGCTGCCAAACTCAAGAGGGTTGGCTTGCTCCCTAGTGGCTCCCTCCACCAGCTGTGTGGCAGGTGGATTGTTAAATATTTAGAAGCTAAAGAGGGATGCCTTGAAATAGAAATCCATTTATTGAAGCCAAGAAGAGGCTCCCCTCATTTTATTTTACTGTTAAAGATTTTATTTTATTTGAGAGGGAGAGCACGAGGCAGCAGGGGGTGGGGGGTGCAGAGGGAGGGGGAAGTGGGCTCCCCGCTGAGGAGGGAGCTAGATGCCGGACTTGATCCCAGGCTCCCAGCGTCATGACCTGAGCTGAAGGCGGATACTCAACCGAGCCAGTCACCCAGGAGCCCCGAAGTTCTGGGTTTTAATCATGGCTTTTCCACTTCCTGGCTGTGAGGCCCTAGAAAATTTACTTAACCTCTCTGAATCTTATACTGCTTCCAGCGTAAAATGGAAACCCCTGTCCCGGCTTCCACCAGCCTCACCGGTGTGGTTGGTGTTCTGGGCCCTGCCCATTGGGGTCCCTGAACAGCCTTTCCCCAAAGCTGCACATGCGTATCAGCCTGCCCATTCCAGACTGGACTCCCCTGGGCGTTGACACTCCTGCTTCCTGTCCGTCGGTATTTTAGCGCTTGGAGGCCAGTGGCCCACAACTTCCTCTCTGGGCCTTTTCATCTTGTGGGCCTTTTCTCCTGTTTTGAATGTACCATTTTTTAAAACAGATTTTTTTTTTTTAAATTTTATTTGAGAGAGAGAGAAGAGCGTGTGCGTACAAGCAGGGGGGAGCAGCACAGGGAGATGGAGAAGCCGACTCAGGGGCTCCATCTCAAGATCCAGGGATCGTGACCTGAGCTAAAGGCAGATGCTTAACCAACTGAACCCCATGGGCACCCCTTGAGTGTACCATTTTTTACCAAAAAGACCTCAAGGAACTTTCCCGTTGGGCAATCGGGGAGACTTCAGCCAGGGCACCACAGGTTCAGGACTCTTGGAGAACTGAAAGGCCTCCACTGCCTTTCCTCCGGGTTGGCTTGCTTTCCTTTCTCAGGCAGTGAGAACAGTGTAACTTGCCTCCCTTTCCGACCTACTTGGGGACTCTGTGGGGTTGGTGCATATGCAGTTCCCCAAGACACTTTTTTTCCCTCTTTCCATTTAAGGAGCCTTGTTCCACTCTTTCCCCTGAATTTCTAATTTTTAAAAAAGATTTTATTATTCATTCATGAAAGACAGAAAGGCAGAGACACAGGCAGAGGGAGAAGCAGGCTCCACGCAGGGAACCCAACATGGGACTCGATCCCAGGACTCCAGGATCACGCCCTGGGCCAAAGGCAGGCACTAAACCGCTGAGCCACCCAGGGATCCCCCTGAATTTCTAATTTTGAACTACGTTTTGTATTCTCTTATAGCTAGTTGGGGGTATAAATCCTAAATAAAGTGCGTAAGACCCCACATTTAACATTTCATCACCCGCATGTGACACACACACACCTGTTTACCTGTCAGGTGGTCCCCCTTACCTGCCACGAAGGCATTCAGAACAGCTGTGTGACCATAAAGCATGCGTTTCGCAAGTGAAATACTAATCGTGGCTTCCACCTTCTCCCCACTGTTTTCGTCTAAGAGTAAATTCGTGGGTCTTTTTTTCCCCTTCTCCTTCTGCCTCTGTTTACAAATAAATCCTCTTTTTCTCCCAAACTGTAGTGTGAAGTGGCCATCAGCGGTGACAGACAGAGAGACCAAGAGGTTAACTTCAAGGAACTGAGACCAACAAAAATGAAACCTGAATTCCTGAGTGGGCACATCCCTCCCGGCCACATCCCTAAACCCATCGTGATGCCCGACTATGTGGCGTGAGTGTCTGTCCAAACCCTTCTTTGAGGTAGAAAGAGAGAAACGCCCCCACGTGGGCGTTTCATCTTCCTGTTGCTCTCTAAGGCCATGCCCTCTGCTTAGAATCATTTCTATGTAAACAGTTGTCTGTTGCCCAGGAGGTAATATATTGAACTGAAGATACTACTGCGTGGCCAGGGAGGAGCGAGCTAAGCTTGTTGCTGGTTCAGCCTGTTTTCAGTGAAACAGTTACAACGTTGGTTAACTTTTCTCGCCCCCACTCAGAAAATACCCTGTGATTCAGACAGAAGATGATCGGGAGCGCTATAAGGCTGTGTTCCAAGACCAGTTCTCGGAGTACAAAGAGCTCTCTGCCGAAGTCCAGGCGGTCCTGAGGAAGTTTGATGAGCTGGATGCAGTGATGAGCAGATTGCCGCGTTGTTCAGAAAACCAACAGGTCAGTGCCTGCAGTCACCTGGGGGGAGCCGCCAGAGGAAGGATCAAATCTGACCTTCCCATGAGTGGGGGGGGGGGGGGGGAGGCCACATGAACCCTGTGCCTTTGCTGTCTGTCTAGGAAAGTTATTTGAGATCCTCAGGGGCACACGAGTCAGGATTACGATTCACATTATGTAGTTTCCTGTCTTTTACCCTCAATTATTATTATTTTTTAAAAGATTTTATTTATTCATGAGAGACACACAGAGAGAGAGGCAGAGACACAGGCAGAGGGAGAAGCAGGCTCATGCAGGGAGCCCGATGTGGGACTTGATCCCAGGACTCCAGGATCACGCCCTGAGCCAAAGGCAGGCACCAAACCACTGAGCTACCCAGGCGTCCCTTTACCCTCAATTATTAAATAGTTTAAATAGTCATAAAACAATTGTTTTCCTTTTATTTCTTTTAAGATTTTATTTATTTATTCATAAGAGACACAGAGAGAGAGAGAGGCAGAGACACAAGATGAGAGAGAAGCAGACTCCATGCAGGGAGCCCGATCTGGGACTCAAACCCAGGACCCTGGAGTCATGCCCTGGACCAAAGGCAGACGCTCAACCCCTGAGCCACCCAGGGATCCTCTATTTTCTTATTTAAGTAAACTATGAGTTTGCCTTAGATACATACTGAGTCTATCAGGGTCCCCAAGGAGACCGATGGCACGCTTAAACTAAGATCAGTCAAGAGAGATTTATCCACAAAGGGGGGAGCATCCAGTGGTCATGCCTTCTCTGCATTGTCCAGGGCTAAGTGACGGCCAAGTGGTCACTGCCCCAGATCCAAAGAGCACATGGTACATGAGGACGGATCATAGATCTGAGCTGCTGGGCCCAACCAGACTGGTCGCCGACATGGTAGCAGAGGAAACCAGGGGCTCCCTCCCTTTCTGTCCCGTTCTGGAGTTGGTGGAGGGTTTCTCATCTTAAGATTTCTGAAATGAGGAATGCCCTGATAATCAGCGGCATTTTTTTTTTATCAGATGTACGTTTTTTTTATTGAGACACAGTTCACATACCATAAAATTCATTTATTTATTTATTTATTTATTTATTTATTTATTTATTTATTTGAAATATTTTATTTATTCATGAGAGACACAGAGAGAGGCAGAGACACAGGCAGAGAAGCAGGCTCCCCGTGGGGAGCCTGATGCTGGACTTGAACCCAGGACCCTGGGGTCACGCTCTGAGCCAAAGGCGGACGCTCAACCACTGAGCCACCCAGGCGTCCCTTCAGTGTACATTTAAACCACTTTAAATTACAAAGTTCTCGGGCAGCCCAGGTGGCTCAGTGGTTTAGCGCCGCTTTCAGCCCAGGGCATGATCTTGGAGACCCGGGATCGAGTCCCACGTCAGGCTCCATGCATAGAGCCTGCTTCTCCCTCTGCCTGTGTCTCTGCCTCTCTCTGTGTGTGTATTCTCATGAATAAATAAATAAAATCTTTTAAAAATAAATAAATTACAAAGTTCTCTAAGCCAAAATACCTAGACTAGTAGCATTTTCCCAATCTTGGAGCAAAGGAACGGTTTTGTCTATGAGATGCCAGTACCAGGAAGCAGGAGAAATCCAGCAAATATTGCAGGTCAAGGGTTGCTTAGTACCATTTGAAGGGTCAGTAAGGTCCACAGGTCCAAAAAGGTCCCCCAAATTTATAGGCCCTCAGAGGAGTGCAGGAAGGATTGAGCAAGGCTGCAGGAAACCGGTTGGGCCCACACTGGGGAGAGCAAGCTGCTTGACAGACATGTCACGGAGCGATCCAATCGTGCCATGTAGTTTGAGCCTAGCCCACGGGGCTCTGGTTTGTGGGCTCTGTGTAGTGGACAAGGGCTCGGGCATGCAGGTCTGCCTTTGAGGACTGGCAGGGTTCCCATTAGAGAGGGGCTGAGACTGGGTCCTCCCACGATATTTTGGTACAGCGTCATCAACCGTCGTTTCCTCTGGTTTGCACACAGCATGGTAAGTACGTAAGTAGCCAAAAGTACGTAAGGCCACAGCGAGTCTCAGAGTCTCCTCACGTCCGTCTCTAAAGTGGAGATAGTGACTGTATCACGAAAGCGAACTTCTCATCAGGCATCTGCTGCAGCTGGCAAGGCCCATTCATTTCCTAACAGGGCCTCAGGAAGGTGTTCAGCGCAGCGGGCTGGTGTGGAGGCACAGGTTCTCTCACAAACCTGGTTGTGTGCCCTTGAAAAGTTTACCGCATGACTTTCCTAAGCCTATAAAATAGGAATATTGCTTAAAATCATCTCTCTGGTCCTTGCTGTCTTTTTTTTTTTTTCCTAGCTGTCTTAAATTCAGTTTCTCTGACAGACTCTAGGAAAAGTTTTGCCACTCTTACACCTGCCTGCATCTCTGTCACAGCAACCCCTGGCCCCAGGCAGCCCGCCCACTCCCAGTTAAGGGCCTCTTCATACAGGTGACAACTGAATGAGCAGGGTCATTCTTTATGCTGGCATCGAGATCAAAACACAAATGAAGCTCACGCAGGAGGCTTTGAAGAACTAAAATATATTGCAAAAAGAATGTTGGGTGGGTGATGAGAAATGTTCTCATTATCATATTATATTATATTATTATATTTTATATTTTATTTATTATAGTGTCTGACAACTTGAGCACACAAGTTTCCTTGGATAAATGAGGGCCTTGCTCTAGTAATCTGTTCCCTTTGGATAGACTGTTCAATCCATTAACAAATCTCATATGTGCCGTAAAACTTAGAAGGAACCTTACTAGTTATTTTTGAAAGTCGAATAGTCTCAACCGTTTAATCCCCGTGTGTAATGTGGTTATGACATACCAAGGACTGTACGAGGACCATTTCAAATATGTGAACCTTCTCACCACTTTATGAAGCACTTGGGGTTATTATTTCCACCTCAGTAAGGAAACAGAGTCTTAGGATAAAAGGCTTGCCGAGCATCAGACAAGTGGCAAGCAGTGGCCCTGGGATTCAGTTCAGGTTTCACACGGGCGGGTCCTTTCTCTCTTGTTCACCCCAGCGCATGGCGCATGACGGGTAGTAAGCCCCCTAATCGTCATCCAGTTCATCAAATTCTAGTGCATGAATATTTTCATTATAGTCTTCAATACAAATTATTCCCTGTTCTAATTCCCAGTGTACGCTGAGATATTAGGAGACAATCTGAGTAAAAGCAAGTGTCTTAATTCAAGTATCTACAATATGTTATTTTTAGGAACATGAGAGAATTTCAAGAATCCATGAAGAGTTTAAGAAAAAAAAGAACGTGAGTAAAACCATTTTCTTCGGGATCCCTGGGTGGCTCAGCAGTTTAGTGCCTCCCTTCGGCCCAGGGCCTGATCCTGGAGTCCTGGGATCAAGTCCCATAAAGTCCCATGTCGGGCTCCCTGCATGGAGCCTGCTTCTCCCTCTGCCTGTTGTCTTCCCCCCCCCCCTCCATCTCTAATGAATGAGTAAATAAAATCTTTAAAAAAAATCATTTTCTTTTCAAAGTATGTTCCTCTCCAGGTACAGTGATGTCAGCTGACAAACCTTAGAGTCTTTCAGCTAAAGTCGTTTGTTTTTAGTATTTCTTCAGATGCTACGTACTAGAGAATAGGAGTGGCTCCTGAATGCCTTTTCTTCTCCTCTCTGTCCTGAACACATTCTGTTATAACCTGGTTTCTAGCAACCTAGAGAAAGGAGCACCAATATAGGACTTTTCACTGCCACTTCCTTCAAAAAAAATTAAGTTATTATATGTTTTTTACTCCATCCTTAATTGCATAGGTCAGTAGAGGCTGGAGAGAGCTTTTATTCATCTTTTCCATATGTATTATTTGCTTTTAATATATTTTAAAGTACTGAAGGTTAAGGTTGTCTCAGCTCTCTGTATTTCCTACTCAACTTTGCTGTGAAACTAAAAGTTTTCTAAAAAATAAAATCTACTTTAACAATGCAGAGAGCATAACTGTTATTAGGAAGATTTTCAAACCTGTTGTAGAAAATCTGCTATGAAGGGTCAGTTTCTGGATGATAATCTACATTTTCTAGGTTCTTCACTGAGGAAACAGGAGGCTAAAATAATGTTTCTTTTCCAGGATCCCACGTTTCTGGAAAAAAAAGAACGCTGTGATTATCTGAAGAATAAACTTTCTCACATAAAGCAAAGAATCCAAGAATATGATAAAGTAATGAATTGGAATGTACAAGGTTATTCTTAAACCTTATTTGAAACCACTTTTTTAATATTAAGCTTAATATTTATTTACTGTCCTTTTCGTGCCAGTCTGTGCTGAGAAGCAAGTGCTTCCTGCATTGGCTTCTAGTTGATTTAGCTGGTATATCATGCCATGTTTGTACAATTTCACTTCAGACATTTCAAAACAAATTCGTATTTACCGAGGGCCTTTACTCAGGATGGAAGAAATGCTACGTCTGTGTACGTTTTATATCTATCCTATTAAAAGTTGTTTAGAGATCACATCCTCACAGCATGATGAGCACACAGCGTGTCACTTCTGGTGCTGCTTTTTTTCATCTTTAACTTGGGCAGGCTCCTGGGATTTCTCTAGAACACATTTCTCTTCCAAGCCAAGGTATCCTGCCTTCTCTTGAAAGGGCTTTGAATCCGAGATCAACATTTTCAAGTCTTATGATCTCAGGCAAGTTACCTCATCTCTCTCTGTGCCTATTCTCTGTAAAAATGGACCTAAGAGGAGTGCCTACCTTGGAGAGGGTTGTTCTGAGGGTGAAATGAGTCCTGTCTGGAAAGCACTGAGCGGAGACCCCAGTACGTTTTACACAGTCCATCAGAGGGTGCAGACTGCAGAAGCGATCGTCACTTGAACAAACTGCCAAGGAAGGGTTCTTAATGAGCAAGCTCCAGCAGCTACCCAGGAGGCCCATGTGTCTCATGGATTTCTTTTTCTGCGATCGATAACTCTTATCACCTGTCGCCAGAGGTGGATGCTTCCCTGTGGTCCTGGGCCCACTGAGGTCAGCCTGGCCGTTCCTGTCCACGTCCAGGACAGGGATTGTGTGACCACTGTTGCCTCTCCTGCCCCTGTTGGCTGAGACTCCGTGATCCTACATTTACTTAGAATGTCCTTTTGATGTAATGCTTCACCTTCCCAAGCATTATCTTGGCTGCGACGCTTTATCCGCAAGAAGTGTTTTGTTTCTATTAGTATGAACAACGGACTACCTTAAAAAATGTTTTTAAAGCGTCATTGTTAATGGATCCTATTCGGCGGCATCTACCTTGCGGACAGATTCCTAGGCACAAAAGTATAACATAGCTGCCCTCTGAACAATTACTGTTTAAAGAATTTTCTAAAGCAATGAAACCAAAGAGAAGCAGTTGGAAAAGCCAGAGGCCTAAGAAGTGTTGGATATTGAATGGACTTCCTAGTTTTTCTTTATCACTGAAATCTCATTTAGTGTTTATTGTTGATATTTTAATGCCGCGACTCTCAGAGTAAGCTTACCGCCCTAAGTGTCTTGAGAGATGACACCTAAGAAAGTGCAAGGCCCCTCTAGAAGCCCCTTAACTGAAACAGCTTCACTTTCTGTTTTATATGTTAGGGCCGCATGTTAACATTTCACTTAAGAAGCACACCAATACTTTTTAAAAAGGGGAAAAAGAAAAAACCCAAAACCATGAAATAATACCATTTTGATAAATTCTAAGGAGTTAGATTCGTATAGAAATGAAGTGTTAAAGAAGTTTAACTTTGTGAAGCTTGATTCTACTATAATTGTAAGCGTTAATCTTTGAAAACTAATGTTGTAACACTAACTTTTTAAATTTTTTCATGTCAGTACCTGGGCATATTAAAATTTCGACGACTTGTTTTTTTCTGCGTACCCTTTATTGTTTGTTTTTCTAGCATTCCTATGTTGACTGGGCATGTTCTGGAAAATATTCCCCATTATCAGAAAACAAACTGAAAGTCATCAGAAACCTGTAGGTCATGATGTTCAGGTGATGATTTCTTCCTCCCCCATTATTTGCAAAAATTCAAAGCCAAGGCCACTGTGTACCGCAAGCCGAGAGGCTTACAACAACAGACGCGTGTTGTCTCATGGTTCTTGGGGCAGAAGTCTGAAATCAAGGTGTCAGCAGGGCCAAGCCCTCTCAAACCTTCTGGAAGTTACTTTGCTGGCAATTTTTGACGTTCCTTGACTTGTGTGTTTATCGCCCCAGTCCTCCACGTTCATGTTGCCTTTTCCCTGTGTCTCTGTCTTCACATGGCTGTCTCCTCATAAGGACAGCAGTCATATTGGGTTACCCACCTACCTTCTGTCCAATGACCTCATCTTAACTAATCACTCCTAGAAACACCTTATTTCCAAGTAACATTCTTAATGTGCCAGAGGTTAGAACTTTTTTTGCGGGGGAGGATACAACCCAACCCAACAGCCGCCATTAGCACGTTGTAAGATCCAGAAGCAAAGATAATATCCCTGTACATTTTTCTTTCTTGCATATGACTTTAACACGTATCCTGACTTTAAACTTAATATGAGAATGTGTCAATATACATAAAACTTAGAAAGAAGAGAAGTACGTATTCTTCACGCATTCCTTTGCCAGTTAGGTGCCAAATGCTTTTGTTGGCCAGATGCCGTTCTCGCACTGAAGATACAGGAGCTGGTGACACAGAGAACCTGAGGCTATTGTCTGGGGGGATCTGTGTGAGAAGAGCATGGCTTGGGGATGAAGCACTCGCTTTGGTTATGTGCATTTCTAGAAATGGTTTGTGTACTGAACCTGATGTTGAGATGCGCCAATGTTCAAAAGATAGGCAACATAGGAAGAATCTGGAATTTTTTTTCTGATTTGCACCTTAAAAAAAAAAAAAACTAGTGTAGAAAAAATTTTTAAGGGAAAGAAAAAAAGCTAGTAAGTAGAAAAGCTTAGAAAATAAAGAAGTCCCACCACTTTTGGGGCACTCAGCTGGCACAGTCAGTAGAGCATAGGACTCTTGATCTCAGGGTCGTGAGTTCAAGCCCCATGTTGAGGATGGAGTTTACTTTAAAAATAAATAAATAAAAGTCCCACTACTATCAGTTCAACTCCCTGGTGGGATATACTGTTGGGAATATAACTTTCTGGGCTTTTTACGATACATACAATCTTTTTTAAATTGTCTAATATTTTAAATGTTCTTTTTTTTTTTTTTTTTAGGATTTTATTTGAGAGACAGTGAGAGAGCACACGAGCAGGAGAGGGAGAAGTAGGTTCCCCTCCTAGGCAAGGAACCTGATGTGGGGCTCGATCTTAGGACCCCAGGATCATGACCTGAACTAAAGGCAGACTCGTTACCGGCTGAGCCACCCAGGCATCCCTTTAAAAGTGTTTTTAAAGAAAAGTATCTGAGAAATGACACCAGCATGTGATAGAGCAGCTCTCCTGCCCTAGAAAAGCTGGGAGTGGTCAAAGGTAGGAGGGATGGTGCAGCCTAGCAGATGGAGAAGGTGGACTTTTGAGCTCGCTATAACCAAGACTCCGTTCCTTCCTGTATGATCTTGACCGTTGAACCTCTCGAAGCATCAGCTTCCTTATCTGTGACATGGCGATACCACTACTACTCGATGAAACCGTTGTAAAAACTAGAGCGATGTATGTCAGATACCAGGGAGGTGCTGGTTGGATAAGCCGTGGCTGAATATTCAAAATACACTTTTCATTGAGTTTCATTGAGGTAGGTAATGAGTTGGCTGTTTTAAAGGTACAATATAAAAGTGATCATTTGATAATACCAGTAATAAAAGGCTTTTTCAGACAGTATATAGGTCGTGCATTTATTGTCAAAAATTTAGAAAATGAAGCTAAGCTCATACTTCCCCTTCCAAACACACACAAAATTGCCAATACTTCTACCCCAGAGGTAGTCCTCGGTAACACTTTGGAGCATATCCTTCCATTTTCATCTCACTCGGGCATGTACTTCTATACATACATAAAGAGCTTTGGTAGTCACAAAATCTTTTTTTGAATTATATAATATGTTGTGTTTTAACTAATAATAAGCCAGCTGATTCCATTTTTCTGAATTTAGAGTTTTCTCCATTTTAATGCAATTCATAATTGTTTTAAAGTTTTTGATGTTCACATCATAAAAAGCAAGGAATGGGCGTTAAATCTAGGTTCAAGCCGTGCAGTTTTAGGCAAGTCACTTAACTCCTCTGAGCAATGGGAGCCGATGAGATTTAAAAAAAAAAAATACCTGAAATCATACCGTGAATGAAAATTCTCGGGACGCCTGGGTGGCTCAGTGGTTGAGCATCTCCCTTTGGCTCAGGTTATGACCCCGGGGTCCTGGGATCGAGTCCTACATCAGGCTCCCTGCAGGGAGCCTGCTTCTCCCTCTGCCTGTGTCTCTGCCTCTCTCTGTGTGTCTCTCACGAATAAATAAATAAAATCTTTAAAAAAAAAAAAGGAAAGAAAATTCTCTGTGAAAACGCTGACATTTAATTTTACATTTTTGGTTCTGATAATGTAGTTGGTAAGAACTTTTCATTAGCAGAAGTATAGTTCGTTATTAACAACGAGCTACTGATGAGTGCATTGATCCTATAATCCAGGCTTCTTTGGAAATCTGTATATTCTGGTGCAGCCTTTACCATCTCTACAATGGCTTTTGAAACATTCAAATAACATTTCCATTTCAACTGTTTGACTTGACAAAGCCACAGGGTTTGATGCCAGTTCCAAAGAAGGAAAAGAGACGAGAAGGCTGGAGAACGGGAGACGTATCTTCCAACTAACACGGTGTAGATTTGGCACCTTCCTCTCTTCTTTACACCAAAGGGAAAAAAGGCCACCAGATATGAGAAGCTTATCACGCACCTCACCCCCGGGTACGTATTTAAAGACGTAATTCTGTTTGCCCTGTGATTTGTTTAATGGATAACCCTACCGTTTCACTGCTTTGGAGAAATTACAAGTTTTGCAAGACGTTAGACCCCTCCTAGGCATTAACCAGGACAGTTGGGATTGTAAGTAGCGTGCAAGGTTTCTCTTTTTACACCAAGCACCCTTTTGTGCTATCAAGGAAAATGATATATCTATTTTTAATGTTTAATAGAAGTTCGTTAACATATGATGCATTAGTTTCAGGCGTACAACATAGGGATTCAGCAGTTATAAACATTGCAGAATGCCTTCCATGGTAAGTGCAGTCACCACACAAAGTCACTACAATATTACTGACTTCGTTCCCTATGCTGTCCTCTTCATCTCTGTGACTTCTTTGGTTTCTAATGAGGTTTGTACCCTTATTTCCCCTCACCTATTTTGCCTATCCCCTCACCTCCACTCCCTGTAGCAACCACAAGTTTATTTTCTATATTCATTAGTTCCTGCTGTTTGTTTTGTCTTTAGCTTTTTTTTTTTAAGATTTTATTTATTTATTCATGAGAGAGAGAGAGAGAGAGAGAGAGAGGCAGAGACACAGAGGGAGAAGCAGGCTCCATGCAGGGAGCCCGATGTGGGACTCGATCCTGGGACCCCAGGATCATGTCCCGGGCCGAAAGCAGGCACCAAACCGCTGAGCCACCCAGGGATCCCCTTGTCTTTAGCTTCCACTTGTAAGTGAAGTTTTATGGTATTATATGTCTTTCTCTGACTTAGTACACTTAGCATCATACCCTCTGGGTCCACGTTGTTGCAAATAGCAAGATTTCATTCTTTTTTTTTTTAATGGCTGAGTGATATTTAGTTGTACATGTACACCACCACGTCTTATTTATCCGTTCATCTATCGATGAACCCAGGTTGCTTTCCTATCTGGGCTGTTGTAAATAATGTTGCCATACATGTAGGGGTACATATGTATTTTCAAGTTGGTGTGTTCACTTTCTTTGGATAAATACCCAGCAGTAGAATTATTGGGTCATATGGGACTTCTTTTTTAACTTTTCTTTTTTAAGATTTTATTTACTTATTCATGAAAGACACAGAGAGAGGCAAAGACACAGGCAGAGGGAGAAGCAGGCTCCCTGTGGGGAGCCCAATGTAGAATTCAATCCCAGGACCCCAGGATCACACTGTGAGCCGGAGGCAGACGCTCAATCACTGAGCCACCCAAGCATCCCATCAGGTTTGTAAGTTTGAACACCACGATGGGTGTGGAGACTACTTAAAAATTTTTAAAAAATTTTTTAGAAGTCTATTCAGGTTCTCTACCCATTCTTAATCAGATGATTTGAGGTTTTGGTGTTGTATGAGTTCTTTATATATTTAGGATATTTACCCCTTTTCAGCTATATCGTGACTAAATATCCTCTCCCATTCAGTAGGTTGCTGAATTGCTGCTGAATTTAGTAGGTTTTCATTTTGTTTATGGTTTCCTTCACTGTGCAAAAGTTTTTTAGTTTAACGTAGCCCCAATTATTTATTTTTTGCTTTTGTTTCCCTTACATGGGACATATCCAGGAAAATATTGCTAAGGTCAATGTCCATGAGTACACTGCCTATGTTTTCTTTGAGGAGTCTAATGGCTTCAGGTCTCACATTTAACTCTTTAATCCATCTTGTGTGTATTTTTGTGTCTGGTCTAAGCGGTCCAGTTTCATTCTTTGCCTGTCACTGTCCAGATTTCCCAGCACCACTTGTGGAGAGACTGTCTTTACTCCCATTGTATATTCTTTTTTTTTTCCTAAGATTTTATTTATTCATGAGAAACACAGAGAGAGAGAGAGAGAGAGAGGCAGAGGGAGAAGCAGGCTCCACACAGGATACCCGACATGGGACTCGATCCTGGGACTCCAGGATCATGCCCTGGGCCAAACCACTGAGCCACCCAGAGATCCACCTCATTGTATATTCTTGCCTTCATTGTCACAGA